TCTCCTCCAGGGCAGGCGGGGATCGAACTCATGCGGAAGTGGCTTTGGCTTCTTAGTGCTGTGCTTTAACCCGCTGCGCCACCAGGGAGGGCCTTCAGTTCTTCTTTAACTATTTATGGCACTGCAAATTGTTCCTGACTCATCATATGTACTTCCTGCCTTACTCTGAGATTCAGTAGTTTGCCAAGGAGCCTGACTTCTTATATTGACGAATGATATTAGAAACCAAGACCCGGGAGCTTGGTATGCTTGTTGTTGCTGTTGTCACTTCTTTTAGGCCCTCTTAGTGGACAGAGAAAAGAAATACATGTGACTATACTAACCTGTGTATACCACAGGTTATTTATAACTACTTATAAATATGTATGTTGTCACCTATTAAGTTAAATAGGAATTCTTACTGCATTATCCAACTCTTAATTCATCACCACAGGAATCATTATATTCTCCTCCACTTATTTGTAAATTTCCACTCCAATATTGAACTATCTGGCTTCCATCCACCATCAGTTTACTCAATAGTTCATTTCTGGTGTATAGGTATGGCACAATTGGAATTGTTAACATGAACCCTCATAAAAGATACTCTGTCAGTTTGGGTACAGTACTTTGGTGCCTTTCCTTTGCTTTTTAGTATTACAGCTTTTCTTTATTTCCAAGTTTACTTGTTTGACCAGCACCTATTTCCCTGTATTTCTGTTTCTATCATTAATGAGTGAGTCTTATTTTTTCTCCTAAAGATGCCCTGTTCTCTGTTCATCACTACCTGAACTATTCATCTTTGCTTTTTCCTGGGATAGTCTTTGCCCTTACACTTCTAGCTCCCCACCTTGTCTCTCCTTCTGTGCTCCTTGTACCTTGTGTTTCTCTTGATGAAGCTGTTAGTAAATGGAATATTTGATAGGTGATGGTAGAATTTTTGGGCTTTTATGCCATAGACTGGTTTTCTTTCTGACTTTGTCTTCTATCATTTTTGAAAAAAAGTAATTGTATAACTACAAAATAGCACTATTTTTTAAAATAATACAACAGTTTATTTATTTTATTTTATTTTTTTAGATTTATTTATTTATTCATTCGTACAGAACTGGGGTACAGGCCAGAGATGCGGAGGGTGACAGGATTCACCAGAGACAGAGTAGTGGGGTACAGTACAGGCAGATCGACAAAGGACACTGCTGAGGGGAGCAGTGGGCAGGTCAGGAGAGGTCTGCCACGCCATGTGGATCTCCTCTAGGGCAGTCGGGGAATCGAACTCATGCGGAGGTGGCTTAGGCTTCTTTGTACTGTGCTTTAACCCACTGCGCCACCAGGGAGGGCCCTGGTTTATTTATTTTTACATCATTTTTTAAAAAGATTTATTTATTTATTCATA